CCACGTTTGCTAAATACCACCAAGTTATGGATTAGAATGGGAGTGTGTTGACAAAACAAATAGGATGGTAATTTTTTTTTTTTACTGGATTTGCTCTAAACAAATTGCTGTGAAAGATGTTTGGACAACGACACTTTTGTACTAAAATTGAACTATTCATTAGTGATATTAAGGAGTATTGATATGTTTACTAACTGATAATAATAAACGTGATACTGTAGAATATGTATTTAGTTTCTAGAGATGCAGCTGAATACTTTAAATGCTTTATGTAAAAACTAACAGAGTATGGAAAGCCTAACATTTAAGTAATAAGATATTTATTTTACTATTTTGTATATGTTTACTACATGTTTTATGGATTTCTTAGCATTTCTCCTCTACAAAAAGACAAAAAGCCAAAAACTTATGTTTTACCCTCACCTAATATATGTGCATGGTATATTCCAAGACTAGTTTTTCCCTTAAGAGTAATTATACTTTAGGGAGGATACATCCTTACCACACATGGACAACCACAGTAGCACACCTATTATTTAACGTGCTTCTCATTTTAGCATTAATTTGGATATCTCAGAGAGGGCAGTATATTATCCATGATGATAGTGTTTGAATATGTATTTTGTAATAGCAAACTTTGATTTCTAATTGAAGACTTTTAGGAATATTTTTCAGCCCTATAACTAGCATTACTACTTAATAACTGAACAGAAAACAGTATTATGTATTTAAAAAGGATTTCAAATTGTAACAAAACTGAATCTTAAAACAAAATCACAGGTCATCAGATCATTCATAAAGTTTCCAATCACATAAATAAGAGGGGGGTTTATTCACAGGCAATAATAGAATGATTCCTTTTAATAGCTAAAGCACAACCACAGCACAATTACACATGAATATTGCTAATATTTCATTTTGTACATCAGTTTAGAAGTTGATTCATACAATTTTTAAAATACCATTTTAAATTCTGTGTACCACTCCCAAAAGGGATGTAATTTGCAGCCCAGTGCTCCCATTCAACACCTAGGGAAAATGATGAATTATAACAGTTGCATATTAAAGACGTTGTGAAATGAAAAAAGCAATGAAAATTAGGTAACATAGATTCCAGAGAGGAGAGCGACCATTGAGCACATTGAAGATCTCTGGCTTTTTCTTCATGTGGGTCATTTGCCATTTCTACACATGGGATGAACATAGGCAGAGAGTACACCACTCTCTGGTCTTCACAGTAATGGTCTTTACAATAAATGATACTGGAGAGATTAGAAATTTGAATGGAAAGAACTAAATCTTATACCTTCTTCAAACTATAATCAAATAAAAAAATAATTGAAGGATCATAGTCATAAATATGAAAATAAAACATAGAGTTTATAGAGTAGAACAGAAGTGAGTACCTTCATGACATGAGGGTTGGCAAATACTTAGCAAGACAGAAGTAAACATAACTGTTACCTTATGATATAGCAATCAGAATCCTTGGTATGCACCTAAAGAAGTTGAAAACTGATGCCTACACAAAAACTTGCATACAGATATAGCACCATAATTAACAATTGTCAAAACTTGGAAATAACTAAATAACTGAAGGACCTACTGTCTTTAGCAGATGAATGGATAAATAAACTCTGGTTCAGACACACAATGGAATATTATTCAGTGCTAAAAAGAAATGAACTATTAGGAAAGGATGAACTCAAATTATCCTTGGTTGTAGATGAAAAAAGACTACACAAAAAACTATTAAAAGCAATAAATCAATAAAGTGCAGGATACAGAATTAACATACAAAAATCAGTAGCATTTTAATACACAAATAATGAAATTGCTGAGCAAGAAATCAAGAAAGAGGTCTCATTCACAATAGTTGAAAATACCTAGGGATCACCTTAATCAAACAAGTGAATGATTTCTACAATAATGAAAGAAATTGAGGAGGACATAAAAATAGAAAGATAACCCACGTTCATGGGTTGGAACAATTATATTGTTAAAATGTCCATATTACCTAATCTACAAATTCAATATAATCTACATCAGAATACCAAGGACATTTTTCATAGAAATGGAAAAAACAATCTTCACAGAAATTATAACTTCACAGTTACAATCCATCTACTACGGGATTGTTTGGGGGAAGATATTAAACCTTGTTTCCCATTACTCCATTTCTTTTCCAAAATGAATATTTGAATGACTTTACAAGCTTATTTTTCAAAGGCTCAATGTCTGTTTTTGTATGAGAGAAAAGGCTTCCTCCACTATGGATTTTAGAACAATACTAACATAGGTGACAGGGGAAGCTTCAGGTTTACCCATAAAATAGATCAAGTACAAATTAAACAGTGGAACCTGTAGCTCACAGAGAGGTCTCCCTCATGTCACTACATGCAGATTATTTTTTTCTTTTTTTGCAGTACTAGGGTTTGAACTCCTACTTGCTAGGCAGGCGCTCTACCATTTGAGCCACTCTACCAGTTCTTTTTTGTAATGGGTTTCTCAAGATAGAGTCTCAAGAACTGTTTGCCCAGGCTGGCTTCCAACCATGATCCTCCTGATATCTGCCTCTTGAGTAGCTAGGATTATAGGTGTGAGCC